CTGCAAGAAAAACGTAGTAAAATCACAAGGAGATCATGTGTCAGTGAGAATAGGTTGAACTGGGTCAGAGCCTGGTCAATGGGAGCCAAGTGTTGTGTGAGGTTGTGTGTAGTAAGGCGCTTGGTTATTAGAGAGCTGCAGTTGATCTTTTTAAACACACACTGAAGTCAGCAAAGTGGCAGTTTGGAGTTCTTCTCACCTACAGTTCTGTTCCTACTATTCAAGTGATAATTGATCGTGTGTGTGTGTTTAACATTTCACTTAAACAACTGTAACATCAAACAGTTGTGTAATTTGTCTTTCCTCTACGCTACTATTGTGTTTGTTAATTATGATCATTACGTTACAGGTAAGTACAAAACCTCACGAAATCCTTACCACACCTGTTGCTGACATAGACACATAAACAGTTTAGACTAAATAGTGGCTGTTGAAGCCTGCCTTGCACATTTGTTTCGATGCTGCATCTGATGTTTTCATGTGCAGCTGTAGCAGAAAGATTTGTTTACCATATGATTGAGTCTGGAGCAAACCTCAGCCCACACATTTGTGCTTTTCTTTCAGTGTTTTGTCCTGCATCGCTACAGTCAGTACAGAGTCCTAGAGCTCTTCACAATCTACCCCATGTTACACATACCATGGTCAACCATTGTTGAACAGAGACTAAGCTTGCTGCCATGGCAACATGGGTCAGACTTGATTGTGTTAGGGGGCTTTTGGAAAATGTAACCGTACCTTTAGCAAACTCCAGTGGCTCAGGCCACTGATTTTTATCTCATTTCTCCATTTTATAACATAGTTTAGACACTAAAATTCAAACAATTTTTATGCCTATGCAGACTTTTTAAGTATTGTGTTGATGGCTTTTTTGAAAAACTGTGGCTGTTGGGTGTTCCATCTTAGGTGGACAACCCCAAATCAGTGAATCCCACATCTCTGATTTCTCTTGGGTTATTTTCTAACGCATTCTACTCCCCCCATGACCATATGCCACATCCTGCAGGTTGGAACCACAACCCATCTGGGTTTCGCTATGCCAAAATAGAAAAGCCATAAAACTAGAGGAAAACAAGGGTATGTGCTCATCCACGGGCCTAACTAGTCCTCCATGCGCTGGGGGTTCTGCTGTTGAACAAGCAACTATGTCAGATTTTAAATTATATTGAATATCCCTCATATAGCTTTAGACTACAGACATTATTGAGGCTGAACTAAGCATTCTCCACTGAAAGGTGAACTGCATGTAATATGCAAACATGTATGTGAAATAGCCCAATATTAAAAATAAAACAAGCCTCGTGCAGCTGCTTCTTCAACACGAAGCAATTATTCTATTGTGATGATCACAAGCAAGACTATATTTAGTGCCACTTGACATTTCCAGCTCCAGACCCTTGCAACCTCCTGCCTTTTGATCTGCTGTTCATAAAGGAGATGAAAAGATGAAGAGTGACATCCAGGGAGGGCTAAAGCCCGTCCCTCTTTTTCTTTTGTCATTTTCTGTAAACAAATCAATCATATTTCCTTTGACATCCCCTTGCTTCCTAAATACAATGAAAGAACAAAGGATAAGGTTGAGCCTTCAGGTATAACAATAAATGACGATTCTCTTCTATTGTTATTTATTTATTTTGCATAAAATAATAAATGGTTAATTGAATATTCCCTCCTTTTGTAAAACAGACATGCAATTGTTTACATGTCTGAAGGTAAACATACAGACAAGACCTCTCGCCCCCCACTACATTAAGCTAAAGGAACTACAAGAAAATTTAACAACCAATACATGTGAGAAATGTAAAATGTATTCCTCATACATTCTCCTGCAATGCCCTGGTCCTGTAGGATGCTGCCTGGCATTTTTACTGTGACTGCCTCTGTATTCCTGTAAAATCACAGAAAAAGAGCATGTTCAGGTCGAACAAGCCTGTTTCCCAGTGCCTACCAGTGGCAGCGTAATGCGTGATGACGTCATGCACGTTCACGCTCAAGAATAGCCCGTAGTGTTTGCTATCTGTAGCTTAGCGGCAGAGCAAGAGGCAGTGTTGCCAACTCAGTTACTTTGTCGCTGTACGACAAACCTAGCAACATTTCTGAGGACCCTTTGCTACTTTCTGTAGAACTTTCTTGTAGATATTCCCTGCAGATTAGCAATAAATTAACAATTTGCACTCCGAGCCGTTCTTTCGGGAGCAAGGAACGTGAATGATAATCTGTGCATGTGCACGAGGACATAAAACTTTCTCGGTCGGGCCGACAATAAAGCTACAGCTGCAGAGCTGGAGACCGCCGACTTACGTCTTCTGCTGCTGCAGACTCACATGTCTACTAGAGACAGGGCAGGCGTCAACCTGTAATCTGTGGTCAACTCTGCAGCCGTCTGGCACTTTGGCCCTTCCTGCGTTTGGCAAATAAATTCAGCGGGAGTTTGAACTACCATCCCGTTAACACACGCAGCTCTGTGGCTCATCTGAATTTCCTTCAGTGATGGGGATGATTATATCATGAAACACCCGATCCCAGTTACTCGGTGCACCGGTGTGCACAGTTATTATCATGTTCTAGATCTGGGGTTGCAACCTTTTCCCATCAAAGAGCCATTATTACCGGCTTCCCACAGTAAAGAAAACACTGGGAGCCCCAGCAGCCGCGGCGTTGTGGGTGGGCCTACCCAATTGCACTTAGGCCCACCCTAAGACAGCCGAGAACTGCTTTAACCAATCACAACAGGTGACAGCAACCAATACCATTCGCTCATGTACCTCAAAGTTATCTTTCAACAGAAGATAATAAAACAATTTGTATAAAATTGATCCAGAAGTTGTAGCCCGTCTGTGCTACAATATTTTGATATTTTTCACCCTGCTAGTGGTTTTAATAGTTGAGCAGGTGCCACTTTTTGCTGTGTCACACACGTCTCCTTTTAAAACATGTTTAAACTGTTCAGAATACAAATCCAGGCTCTGTCTAGTTGGATTGTTGTAATTAAACTTTGTACTGAACAAAACTTTATATTAAACAATGTTGAAAGGGTAAGAAAAGGATCGAATCCATTCGTTTTGTTCCCCTCATTTACAGTGACGGAGATAATGGTGCAGTTCGCATGACTCTGGTGTTAATCAAGTTTAATGTTCCTGTTTGCAACAATCTTTACAAGAAGGCCAAACCGTTAAATGGCAAAGTTCCCGTATTTGACCGTTTACTTTGACGGAGAAACCTCAAGCTGACATTTTTATCGTTACGTACATCGCGGAGGTAGCCAAATCAATCATGAAAATATTTCCATCAGAACATCTGAGCTGGACACTGCTCAGCACAGCTCACTTTCAGTGCGCATGCAAGGTGGACAGCGAGCTGACGACATGTAGATCAGGGGCTTGGAGCGCGTTGCAGAACCAGAGCGCATGCAGGAAGGCTCTTCTCACTGAAGCAAGTTTTCCAAACCCTGTCTCTCAGAGAGGCTTGTTACTTAGAAAATATTCCCCGATTATGAAACTTTGGCTGAATCGGGCTTGTTCCTGTCTCCAATGTGGCGACACATCCATGAGCCTGTCTGAGGAAAAAGTCCTGAATCTCATATCCTCTTCAGCTCAGAAAGCGCCTATAGAGACATTTGATTACGATCAAATGAGGAGAGCAGGAGGTCTGAGCTATGTCCTATAACAGGATGATTTGGATCACCACACCAAATCTGCCCAAATCACTTTATTTATACTTTTAGAATTTAATTTACACATCAAAGCAATTTGGGCCATTTTAATTATACTAGTAATTAATCGCTTTAACTAATAAAATAATTACGGGGGAAAAGAGTTGATGCTTTAAAAGCAAGCTGGGGGCTTTTTGTATATGATTGTAGGAACAGTTTTTAGGCTGCTTGTCTAGCCTGTCTACATCAGAGTACATAGTTTGCCTAATTTATTAGAATTGTGCAGAACAGTCTAAATCTGTAAATTGCACCAGTACAAGACAGACTCAGCTGTTGTTTTCGTTCAGGAGTGTGCACATACAGCATGCACGCCTCATACACGAGCTTACTATTGAAGCTGCAGTAATGCAATTGGCCTGAGGGGGCAATCGAGAGCATAAAAATTTCTAACTCCTTAGTCTCTAAGTAAAATTAAAACTACAATTATAAAACCACCTTCAAGCCTAACAATTGATTCTTTATCTTAAGAGTTCTACTGAAATTATTTAAAAAATAAAAATAAACATTTTTTGACATAAATGCTGATGTGATGATTTGGTTTTCACTCCACCAAGGAATTGGCTAGTTGGGTCAATCAGTATTTACCAACATGCAGCAGAGCCTAACAGCTTCATTTTAAAAAGGTGACCAACAATAACATGGGGAGACATTAATTACTTGTTACGGTTTAGTTCATTAAACCACACAACCTTGATTCCTCACATGAATAAAGATTCCTAAAAAGGTGTAAACCTTCCTTATGCAGTGTGGTTCATCCAGTTCAGGGCTCTTGCACAATATTTGTGCAGTGTGTTAGCCACAGAACAAACAAACTGCCCAGCACATGACTTTTAGTATGAACACCATGTGGTATCACCTCATTCCTCCCGACACCGTTGTGCTAGTTAGTTTAGTTTCTTCTGTCGGAGCGAGTGTTAGCGTTAGTGTTGTGGTGTTAACCTGGTCAGCTGGCAGTCAGCCATTTCTCATCCTCACAACCTCAAAAGCTTATAGCAAAAATGAATTAAACTCTGCTGGAGTTCCCACTGGTTTCAAGTAATCTACAAAAGGTTTATTTTCTCTATAATATCAGAGCAGAAACGGGAGTAAAACATGTTAGTAAGCCCATCTCTGTGCTACAGTCACTGATAATTCAATATGTCACTTTTACTATGGTGTTCTTTCTTTTCCAGTAATTCTTGAACAGATCCATGTCTCTGACTGACCATTATGACAGGTCTTCTCTAGAGGATCATAAACCACTTCAAGATATTTTATCAGAAATATCAGAATGAAGAAAGCTTAAACTTACCAATTCATCCAGAGCATAGCGAAGCAGTCCATGCTCGTAAAGGATAAAAAACCGTCTCTGCCATTTCTGAAAATGTTAAAAACAAAGATGGTCTCGTGTTATACAGCTGAATTTTTTGCAGTAAGCAGTAAAATATTGAACTTTTAAAATAATGAACCAACATGAGATAACATGAAACCTGATGTTATTAAATTGGGTATAACCATGACCTAAAAAGATTTATTTAATTTAATTTTTTTCTGTAAATATTAAAGATTTCATACACAAGAGCTAGCTCTGGTTTGAACGATGATGTCACATGATAATTCCATACATTGCTAGACTCTGAAACCACCACTTTACAGGACTTTAAAGCAAGCAAAACAACATTTTATCCAAGTGCATCAGCTAGTCCTGATCTTCCAGTTTAGGACATCTATTAAACATACAAAAGCAGATAAGACCGTCAACCCACAATTTCAACAAAAGGTTTCACAATTGATTAACATTAATCACAATCAAATCTGTATCATACAGTTAAGGTAATTATCCTACAACAGGGGTGTGGCATTTTGTGATTAAATGGCTTTTCAGGCAATACTACTTATTGATACTCAGGTTTTCATTGATCCCTGGTCATTTGATCAAAACACACACACACACACACACACACACACACACACACACACACACACACACACACACACACACACACACACACACACACACACACACACACACACACATTTATTGGTGTAAAATTTCAGAACCTGATCCACAAAAATCTGACATGTGCTCTGGAACCCAAAAGGGAGACAGGAAGGTCTCTGCAGTAGTGGTACTTCACGTGTGACGGTTAAAACGTGCTGCTATACTTGCACATATGTCAGTCAAAAATACAATTTATGGGAACCAAAAGAAGAAATTAAAGATTACAAACCTAGTGTCACAACATATAAGCACAGCCTCACAACCTGTTAAACTGAAGTGGTTCTGAAACATGACTCAATCTATCAGCCCTTTTACTCTGTTATTAGTTTAATAGCTAGTCTGCATGACCCATCTGCTTACTACAAGCAGCCAATTACAGCCCTGCAATGAAAAGCTGACTGCAAAACAGAGCAGAGCATATATGGGATGATGTTAAAGTGGCAGCACCAGACGGCTGATAGTGGATCAAGGCGAGCTCTTTCCATATGGAAGCCATCAGTGTGAGAACGAGGTCTTTCCTCCTCCCCCACATTCCCCCATGTCCTCTTTTGGGATGCACCACCGCAGTACAATCTGAGAGCTGATAAAGGAAGGCTCCCATTACAGGATAGTAGGGAGGTACGGTTTGCAAATTAACGACAATATTAGGCTCATTATTGCCTCATATGAAGGCCTGCTTTGATAAAAGAGCCAACCTCCCACAAGAATCTGCAGATTGCACAATGAGTCACAGCACCACAACAGCAGCTCCTGTTTATCAAATGAGTGGCAGAACAGATAGGAAATCCTTAAATGTGTTACCCAAACTGGTGCATTTTCAGATTTTAAATGTTCTTTGTATCCCAGGATCTGCTAAAACTCCTAAAAGAGTCAGTAACACCTAAATCAATTTTTGTTGCTGATAAACTGTATAAATGTGTGTATAATAGTGCTGTAGACATGTGTAGTCATTATTTAGGCATTTTAGTGCATCTTATTAAAATCAGTCATTATTTCTCCCTCTTCAGGTCAAAACTCTGTACACTGAATTTTAATCAGACTTTGCTAATGGCTAAGAGGTGCCAGGTGACGCTGCCAGTCTTGAATAACAAGTCTGCACTGGTCTCCAGCAGAGTCTCGGCCGCACCTCCAGCTGGCTTGGCCATTCACAAGCCAATGTGAAACGATGTGACTCAGAGCCACTCGACTGCTTAAAAAAAAAAAAAACTTACTCCACCCTTTCTTCTAGTGAACAAGGTGGGGAGAAACCCCTCCAGCCTGCTGCAGTTTCTCTGTTTGCTTGTTCTGCTGAGCAGTGAGTCTGCTGTGTGTGTTTTCACTAGAGATGCTCCGATTCGATCACATGATCGGAAATCGAATCCAATCATGGGATTTAAAAAAAAATAAGAATCGGGTGACAAAGATCGGACTTAACCTTACCAACAAACATGACTTCTCATTCTAAAATAGAGATTTTCAAACGGAACAATAATGCCTTAGTTTTTATCTTAACAAGTTCCTCTACATCAGCGTTCTTTGTTTCTTGGAAGAAAACACCACCATTACCTCCCAATTTATGTCAGGCAGGGATTCAGACACCAGCTGTTAGCTAGTAGGCTAACGCAGAGCTAACGTGTCTCCACAGGAGAGCTAAAATATCTGTATTTAGGTGGCATTTAAACTAGGCAGCAAAGGCAGGGTAGCAGCCACTTGAAATGTGTGCTTACTGGGCATTCAACATGCTGTAAAACACAGCTGCATGATAAGCAGGCTTCAAAATAAAATTCTTTCTCCTTTGGCTTTTTTCCCTTCAGGCGTCGCCACAGCAAATCATCGGTCTGCATTAAGTCCCAGTTCACAGCTGCATCTTTAACAAAAACACTGAACCAGCAAACAGCGAAAGATACGTTAATAAACAGAGAAATTGATGACGAACAGCAAACCGTTGTAGTTTCTCATCTCAGGTGCTGCAGGTGTTGTGCAGATAAAATTTAGCCTGCTGGCCATGGTGCCGCGTGGTTTCCCCATCACGGGAATGTGCATCCAGGGTCCGAAATTAAATTTTTTACTCACCGGCCAAGTTGGCTGGTAGATGATGAAAATCTACCGGCCAAAATTCTAAATGATTTAGATCTACCTAAAGCATGTTATTCTATATTATGTTGATTCCAAACAGAGTGACAAAATATTTAAAACATCAATTAATAAGAAAAACAACTCTTTTGTCATTTTTACTACTTATTTATTTATTTTTAGAGATGTTTTTATGAACTCTTTCATTGAAATCTAGTCAGACTCCTTGTTTTCTCTGTCCATGAAGTCTGGCCTCCTGCTTCTGACACCGTCTTTGTGCCAAAGCACTACAGCCTCATTTGGGTCATAGTCCTTGATCTCTGGAGAACACAGCTGCACGATGAGAATATCTGAAAGTGTGTCAGGGCTAGGGTTGTCACGGTAACCGGTGTAGCTGTAAACCCCGGTAAATAAGTTGACAATAATAATAACCGTCTTGTTTAAAAAAAAAATATCCCAGTGGATTACCGTGGCTGCGGTGTAGGCGCGGTGAACCTTACCAGCCACCGTATCATCTGCTGAAGTTGCCGGCGGCACATGCGCACTTTGTTGTTTATGACCAAAACTTTATTTAAGCTAAAGCTGAAATAATGGCAGGAGGAGATGGCAGCACTCGGGACATTTATTATCCCTCAAAGAAGACAAAGTCGGAAGTATGGGCATTTTTTGGATATTTGAAGAATGCCGAGGGCCAGTTGTCTGTGAAAGGCAGCAACGCTACGTGGCCATCATAATGTAGCCATTGTCTTATGACTCCGCCATTTCCGGTTCGCCACTTTTCACAAAATCTTCTGGTTGCCACTGGTCCTGGTGGTTTTTCTTCAAGTTCGACGAGTTTTCTTTTGGAAGGCTGGCTGACTCCAGTTAAAAACCGCCACATTTCACCGCTAGTTTTAACACGAAGCTAACTGCTAACTTGATAAACTGATTGAATGGGATAGGTGGAAATGACGTTGGATGCGGCGTTCACGTTTCGCGTACGTTTGTGTACGTTGCATGCAGGCGGGAGGAGTATCAGAAATCCATGGAAGATGACTGATAAACATAACTAATTTGGTGCAAACATTTACTCGCCAGGTGGCAGGTAGAGCTAAAAAATGTACTCGCCAAATGGAGCAATTTGCTTGCATTTGGCGAGTGGCGAGTGTTAATTTCGGACCCTGTGTGCATCACTCAATAGAGCCGCATAAGGAGGAGAGGATGTAAACAATTTGAAATATAAGCAACTCTGCGATTTTATAATATATTCATAATATTACCATGCTTTTTATTAAGGTACTTGCTTAACAAACGATACTCAACAGATACTCATAATCAAATGACTCGTATCGGGAGCAAAACAATGTGATCGGAATATCCCTAGTGTTCACGCACATGCTTGTTAATGGCTCATTTTTCCAAATGAAAAACTCAAGAGAGTACGGGGATTGGGGGGTGCTGTCAATTACTGCCTCAGTGCTGTTCTCTCAGTCCAACAGGCTACACCTCCTTTAGGTGCATTTTTTCCAAACAGAAAGTGTGGGCGAAGTAAGACTCCATCCAGCGGGTGACCGACTCTCTTTGAGGACGTAAACACAGTCAGAAGACTATGGCTGTCTTCATGATGCTGCAGTGACCATTCAGTTCTGATAGCTTTCCAGAAAGGGAGGGGCTTTGATGCCATGGCGAATTCTGGCGTGACGCCGTGACCTTACGTTTGACTGTAACTTCCGCAAACAGCCTCCGATCTGCATGAGACTGAACATGGCAATAAACAATCATGCCCTTTAGCCAATGAGGCACAAACGGTTGGTGAAAGTTGTGTAATATCACCACAGCGCCCCCTACATACCTTTAAAACTGCAATAAGTCGTACAGACGAGGTCACAAGTGCACCAAACTTGCTATATGTCATCACACAAAGGCACCCAAAACAATCCTGTTGTCATTGGTTGATATTGCTTTACCTCCGCCCCCTGACAGATATTAGGCCCTTAATAAAACATGCATGATGCAATTCACACTAAACTACACGCAAATGATTGTTGTCAACCTACAAACTGCTTCATGCAATATTTCCTAAATATGGGACAGCGTCCCCTAGGTACAATAAAACCTTTGTAACTTCTGCAAAAAAGCTCCAAACTATATCAAACATGGTGGGAGGCATCACACAACTGCAATCAACACATATGCTCACTCGTTCAAATCACTTTAACTGTGCCCACTTACAGCCTTTTGGCTTTAGATGACCCATGCAACATTTGATTGATGCCAAATTAACAGAAAACCATCTTTGACGACCAAAGATGAGCTCTATGGGATTTAGTTGTAAATGGTCACAG